TTTTCAAATACGTAGTCTAATGAATTGTAATGAAAATCTGACAGTCTCACTTATATTCTAGGACACCCACTGTGCTCAAATTAGAATTACTTTTTTTGGTTAAGGCATTGTCAAAATAGAACTCAAGGTATATCCCCATGAATGTTTTCTCAAAGGGCCAAATCTAGTAGTTATTTATAATCCCCTATACACACACCCCTCGGGATTCGCCATTCTCATACATGCTACAAGCTTCTGCTATAAGCATTCACAATTCTATACTTCAGGAATTTTCTTTTGGTTCTCACACTCTAGGCTGAAAGGACCAAAGGTTAACATGCTTGGAGGCAGTCCTCAGGTAGTGACAGGTAGAAGATAAAAAGCCAGTGTCCATCTTCTTGTTTGGAATAACGTAATATTTTATATAGTCTATCATGGTAATCTATCTTTTCATAACCACTCACAAATTTTCTCTCCATTTGCCTTTATTCCTACCAGTACTTGTAGAATCACTTCCAAAATGAACTAGGTGCTCTCAAGCCTTTCTCTCAGGGTCTATTTAAGAAAGAATCCATACTAAAACAATGACCTATTACAAAGTTTCTCAACCTTGACATTATTGACATTCAGGGCTGCATAATTCTTGTGGTCCTTTTTGGTGCAGTATAAGATGTTCATTAGCATCCTTGGCTTCTACCCACTAGATGCCAGTAATATCCTCACATCAGTTTTGGCAACCTTTATTTTTGTTAGCTTGAACCCAGTCAGAGTCTGGGCACTGTACCTGAGCTCTTTTGCCTAAGGCTAGCCCTCTACCACTTTGAGCCACAGTGCCACTTCTGGTTTTCTGGTGGTTAATTGGAGATAAGAGTCTCACAGATGTTCCTGCTTGGGCTGGCTTTGAACTGTGATCCTCAGATCTCCGCTTCCTGAGTAGCTAGGATTATAGGCATGAGCCACCGGCGCCTGGTACAAGCAATTTTTTTAAAATTTCCTTTTTTTCTCAGTGTTTTTAGATTCTTCCTTGGGCTCACTTTTCTAATGATCACTTGTACAAGAATCCTTATGTCAGTGTTAATTTCAGGGGAATCTGGTCTAGGACCTAAACATTCTAAGGTATATGTTTAGTGGAAGGAGAGTTCAATTCTATAATTCTATCACTCACATGGCAGTCTTTGAATGTTTCTTACCATAACGTATGATGATCTTGGGTGCGATAACAGAGAGAATAACTAGAACTCTTCCATCTGTCCACTGCCTCCAGAGCTAGAAGGCCACAGAACATCTCCAGGATGTTGTGGAAGACTGCTTATCCAATAGAAGGAAAATAACATCACTCTGGTTTTAAGTATACCCAATGTTATGGCTCTGTGCTTACTTACTTGAAATTCAGAGAGGATAGTTCTTGCCATAACAGGTCAGCAGAGAAGAAACTTGGATGAAAAACTTAGCACACTACTTCTGTCATTTAGTAGGATTTGAAAATATTACCAAATTTAATTGCAAAATGGACTATATGGCATCGTTTATTTTCGTCCTTTCTACTGGTTTGTTCCTATTGTCTCATATATTATGTCATTCGATCTTTGCATCATCTTGGTTAAACATTAATTTCTCCCATTTTAAAGGTAAGAACAATGTGACTCTGACACTGCCTCTCATCCCACCAAAATGATGAAGGAAAGATTATTCAGGGAACTAGCTCATCTGGAAAAGTTTATAGACTGTATTAGCTTCTTGACACTGTGACCTAAATACCCAAGAACAACTTCAAGGAGGAAGGATTTATTTTTTGGTTTTGTCATTTCATGGTTGCTTGTCCCCATATCCTGGGCAGAACACCACATCGTGGTGATGGAATTGTGTGTGGAAGAGGGAGATTCTTCACCTTATGATAACCAGAAGCATATAAAAGTAATATATAAATGAGCCAGGGCAAGACATAGCCTCCAGCAACACATACATCACCAGTGATTTCCTTCTTCCAACAAAATCCCACCTCATACCTTTTATCACCTCCCAATAATACTATTCTATTCTAAATCTATCATGGAATCTATCCATCCATTAGGTTGGGGCCCTCATTATCTAATTGTCTCTAGAAATTCTCATGCAGACACTCCAAGAGATGAGCATTCCTAATCTTCTAGGCTTTTCTCAATCTCATCAAATTGACAATCAAGATTAACTACCACACAGACATTTTTCTTCTTCAAAAATAACAGTATATATAGGAACAAAAGAGATAGGAAGTTAAAAAATAGTCACTGAACTTGACATGCTTCAATACATACAATTTTTTATTGTGAAAATACCATACAGAGGGGTTACAATTACATGGGCAAGGTAATGAGTACATTTCTTATCAAGCATTGTTGCCTCCTCCTTTGTTTTTCCCCTACCATCCCTGCGCTCCCATCTCCCCCACCCCTGCCAAAGTTGTAAAGTTCATTTTTCAACATAACATCTTATACATCTCATTGTTGCAATGGGTCCACCTGTATCCCTATTTAAACAATTGGTTTTTTCCCTTCCCCTCCAGAAATTATACCAACATCAAATACCGTGAAAAGAGGGGTTATACCGTGGGGGAGGGACATACAAAGCAACAAAAAAGAATCATCTTATAAATATGTTAGAAACAATCACAAGAAAGAAAAACCTCTTGAGTCCTTATCTTGGGGTTCATTTCACCTAACATCAACTTGTCTGACCATTTCTGCTTGTCTCAGACATATACTAGTTTTAGATATGAGACCCTTGTCCGAATTATATTAAGTGAAGTAAGCCAGGCCCAAAGAAACATAGGTCCCATGGTTTCCCTTATTTGCAATAACAATGCATATTTTATAGAGAGAAAATTTTCTCTAAAATTAGCATTTCTTTATTCTGAGGTCTATATGATGATTAATGGTTTATTCACAATGTAGGAAAGCAGTCATTTCTTTGCAGTCATTTGAAGAGCATTGCATGCGCTATAATTTCTCTCCTTCTTGAGAACTTGTTTATAGGTTTAAATCCTTGTTTCTCTTGTTCCTCACTACCTCTAGCCTCCTTTTTTCACCTAGATCCAAGGCCAAGAAAGATGCAGAACTACTCTTGTTTTATCCAATTCTCCCCAGGATTGAAAAATGTGCTTGTTTCTGAGTTCTCATACCTATTGCAATACTCAAGTAAAATATGAGAGCACTTTGTCTTGACAACATTCCATGAATAAAAAAAAGGCAATATACCTTGCATATACATACAGTGAAGGGAGACTATAGGCTCCCTTTTGAATTTTTAAGATACCAATTTTAGATACAGAAAATCTAAATTAGAAATTGGAGGAAAAAGAATTTTTGCTTTTATTTAGATGTAGATCAATGTTAGAACCAAGTTCTTCTTCCTGAATTTCAAATCTTATGTATACTGAATGAGAGAAAACATAGTTGGCATATGAAAGTATCCAGACAAATGGTGCTTAAGAAACAAAATGCTAGGCATGAAACCATAGATCTGGAAAAGAGTCTACGGAAACATCTATCCTGCCTCCATCTTTCATTAGAGAAAGATCAACTCTTGGGTATTGATCAACTCTTGGTTCTGTTTTGGTAGGATTTTGGTACAATTTCTGACTTTTCTATCGTCTAACTCACATTCATATAATATTTCAGTTAATGGTAGAATATCTGGACTCACTGGATGTCAGTACCTAGCAAGCACTTATGATATTTTCTATAGAATTTTCTAGAAGGAATGAATTTATTAAGAAGTGAAAAATAGGTCTGGGATGGTGGCTCAGTGGTAGAGTGCTTGCCTTGCATGCATGAGGCTCTGGGTTCGATTCCTTAGCACCAGATAAGCAGAAAAAGTCGGAAGTGGCACTGTGGCTCCAGTGGTAGAGCGCTAGCCTTGAGCTGAAGAGCTCAGGGACAGCACCCAGGCCCAGAATACAAGCCCCACAACCGGCACACACATACACACACACACACACACACACACACACACACACACACACACAAAGTGAAAAATATGAGCACTCACTACTTAATGTATTTTCTATAGAACCTTCTTGAAGGAATGCATTTCTTAAATGGTGAAAAAATATGAACAAGTAGGAAATTTTATGATGAAATTTCTTACTAGCAAGATTAGTAAAGTGGAAACAAATTATACCCAAGTTCTACAAACTCTTATCTTACATTCCATAATGTAGGTTTTGTCCTTCTCATTGAATAAGATAATTAAGGTAATTTGTAATATATATTCCAAACAAAGACCCTTCATAAGCTAGTCCAGTGACTCATGTCTGTAATCCTAGCTACTCAGGAGCCTGACACCTGGGGAATCATGGTTTGAAGCCAGCCTGGGCATCAAAGTCTTTGCCCTTCAATCTCTAAAATAATCAGAAAACAATGCAAGCACAAGTGGTAGAGGGCCAGCCATCTATGAACAAACACGGCTCTGAGTTCAAGCCCCCAAACCAGAAACACACAAACACACACACACACACACACACACACACACACACACACACACCATCACCAACAGCAGCAACAACAACACCTCAAAAAAAGAGGGCAAAAGGTGTTACAATTGTATAATTATATCAAAACAACAGGACTACTCCAGCCAAACTGAGATTAACAGCTACTCACAGAGACAAGGAGCGATTATAAGCAGTGGAAAATACATTGCAATCAAGCTCTAAATTAATAAACAAGGGAGTTTTAAGTCAAGAATGAAGATTTTAGCAGAATTTTACTATGAAAACTTTGATTCTCTTACCTTGCTTTAGAATTATGGTTAAAAATTAGGTCAGATGACAAATACTTTCTAATAATTATCCCCAAAAAAGATGAGTCAAATTCTTGCCAGAATCTTGGTGGATTGAATGTGACTGTGCAATCCCATGAACCAATCAAAAATTCTGAACCCCACCCCCAGCATATCATTACACTCTAACCCCACCTCCCCACTGGACACTTCTGAGACTGTCTTTAACAGGCATTCTTCTGCTTCCTTGAGCAACGGGCTTCTCTGAGAGCTCTGTCTTGCCCATCAACTATGAGTACCCTCAGACTCCCAAGTTACATTGCTGAAGTGGAGGCTGCCATCGACCACTTGATCACCTTGTGTTTGCAAGCCTCAGATATGTACCTGTCTCTGGGGTTCTATTTCCAAGATGACAGTGTGGTTCTGAAGGGTATATGTTACTTTTTCCGAAAATTAGCTGAGAAGAAGCGTCAGGATGCTTATTATCTCTTGAGGAAAAATCCATGCAGTGGTGGCGGGTACTTCCCTGATGGGCAGTTGCTGCCCCAGGATGGGTGGCTTGATATCACAGATGCTATGGAAACTTCATTGTCCCAGGAGAAGAATCTATACCAAGCTCTTATGGATCTGTATGCTCTGGGTTTGGCCAGTAGAGACATCCAACTCTGCAAATTCCTGAAGAGACACTTTCTGGGAAAGGAAGTGAAGCTGATGAAGAAGATGAACAAACACCTGACCACTCTCCGCAGACGGATGGGGCTGGATTCTAAGCTGAGTGAGTATCTCCTCCAGGGGCACAACCTGTAAGTACCACCAATAGCTTCTGTCATCTAGTGGCCTTGGATGGCCTTCTGTGTTCCTCTGACATCAAAAATTTCTTCCTTAGCAACTATCCTGAAGCCACCAAACCATGGACTGAACAGAAAAAACAAAAAAAAATCTTTTTGCAGGAAAAAAAAGCTCTAGCTTGAGGGGAGAGGGCTGGGGACATGGAAGGGCTCAGAATAGCATGAAAAGTTTATTGTCTGTTCAATTCTCTAGCTTATCTACTGAAATTCTTAACTTTTTGAATTGTCTGTTACTTTGAGGATTTAATGAGCTAGCTCTGTTCGCTCTGTTGAGAAAAAGAAACACTTTCTGGTGTTCTAAGTCTTTCTAAATATTGCACACGAATTTAGTGGTTTTATCATTTGATACCATTTGGGATACTGGATTCAACCCTAAAACGTATTGTTGGAAAATGCATCCTTGATTTTGCCTAACAGAATACAGAACTGACTATCTGGACTAAATCAATATTGTGTCTCTCTAACCCTCAAATTCACAATAAAATTGCTTTTTCTTGTTTTCAGGTTGACTCAATTCCATTTCCCTGTTGGGTGGGACACAGTAAGAAGCCCCATGAAGTCCATCTTTGTACCTTCCACTAAAATGCTACTCAGAACATGGACTACTGCTCTTTGGCACTGACCTCTTCTTGAATCCTCTTTAAAATTGTTGCTCTGGTCTTACAATTTGAAATAATAAAACTTCTCGGATAATTGACCTAGCTTTTTTAATGGTGTAACTTACATGTTTGTTTGTTTGTTTGTTTACTGATGTACCTAAGTAAGTTTCCTTTTTTTTCTGCTTGCCAAATTTGTGGCCCATCCAGAGTAAATGAATAAGATTAAAAAAACATTTATGCATATGCTTCATTTTTGGTCTGTATGTTACTTATTTGTCAATGTGTGTTATAGATCCTTTTAAACCACCTTAAACTCTTTCTGAAACAAATCTGTGCATAAGCAGATAAAAACTTGTTCAGTATAGATTAAAAAGTGTTTCCAAAGTTTCTTTTGCAGAAAAAGGAGGTCAGCTTCAAGAGCTAAAGTGATTAAAATGTGAGCAGGTCAGAGAGAGGATACATTTGAGAAGCCAAAGGAAGGGAGTCCGAAAAATGTAGCATTCTTCAAAAAATGTGCATTGTTTATCTGGTTAGTTATTTTCTACTAAATTCATACATTGTGTCCCATAGATAGCCAATATAATACATATTGTTTTACTTGCAGTTTGAAAAACTGGAGATGTAGCATTTTCTTTAAAACTACAGAAGTGGAATAAAAGATTTTCCTAAACTTCCTCTCCCTCCCAAAGCAGGAAGACCAAGCACATGCTTTTATTCTAGAAAGGTCAAAGGCATAGGAAAAATATTTTTCAGAGGTTGGGACAATGTCTGCTTAGTTAAGGAGAAAACCTTATCTTCCTGTTTTCATAAAATTGTTTTAATAATAAAAGCATATACTAGAAACATGATTCCTAGAAAAAGGAGTTTTTCCCATTAGCTTGTAGTTGGCAGTAAGAAATACACAGAAACAGTTTCCAATTGTCCTTAAACATTTATATCTCTGTACTTAAAAATATATGTCTAAAAGTAGAAATTATTTTCAAGTTATAAAAAATTATTTTCAAGTTATAAACACTATATGTAAACACTGTTCCAAATGATAAAATCACCTGATACTATATGATCAATGGAAAGTTTATCATTGGAAGCATATTATTTGGGAAGAATAAGAAAATGTGTTTTTTAATAATGACCATATGTGTCAAGTCATTAGCCTCCCAAACAGATGAACATGTTCTTTGGTCATCAAATACTATTTGAAAAACAACAATTTGTTGGGTTTAGAACAAACAACTCATAAACATGATAAAGTATTAGTTTGTCTTAAAGTTTGTGGCAAATTCATCTGTGTAAAATTGATGTTTCATAACACTATATTTCTAGAAATCTCACAGTGAATTCTTCTAGACATAAACATTGTATATTTGCACTATGATAATACATGATTCTTGTAGGCTCTGACAAAATTCCCTGTATCAGTCTTCTAAGTTTTCCCAGATTTACTATATCTACTATGTCTTATAAATTTGAATTTTCAGTTAACTTCATTAAAGTTTTGGAGTACCAACTGCTCGTCCTCCCTTTCATCTGAGTTCTAATTAGTTAGACAAAGAGCCAAAAAGAAAATCAAGAATGAAGATAACTTTGCTGATGGTAAAGCTAAGCTGGAGGATGTATGAGGCTTCCTGTTGCTATCCTTGAGCTAAACTAAGCCATGTAGTTCTGGAAAATGAAGCTCGGACAGAGATCAGATGAGGCTAGGCAGAAATAGGTTTGACCTTTTCTTCTAACCTCATGGAGACTCAAAGAGAATGCTGGTGGCCCAAAGGAAGTGGGGAGTGAGTAGAAGGCCCAATTGCCTTATCACTGCACTGCCTTGGCCAGTACTTCAGGTGAGATTTCCAATTCACCTTGCTATCCCCTTCTCAAAGACTAAGGGAGAAGTTTCCTCAATTTTGTAGAAGTAAGGCCTAGGAGAAAAAGTTCTCTTAGAAAGGACTTCAATGATTGTCACAGCCAAAATGTTCAAATTTCTGTGTCATGCCCCTCCTCCAGTGTTTGTAATGCTCATGGAATCGCTTGTAGCTAACAGACCTTCTGTCCGTTGCTTTACCAGGTCAAACTTAATTTTCAGCCTAATTCCAACCTTCCTTGACTAATCCAACTGTGATGGGTAGTCTTGCTTAGATTGAGAAATGCTTCAGAGATTAGCAAAGCACACCTTTCAGGGTGTCTGTGATGATGTGTCCAAAGAAAATTAGATTCTGGGATTTATATTAATGAATGGATGAATCCCTTGATGGATTCATAATGTGATGGCATTATTGGGAGGTACTGAAAAAGTAGGGGTGGGGCCTTATTGGAAGACATAATCATTAGAGACATTTCCTTGGGGATTATATCTTGCCCCAGACCCTTTCTGAATTCCCTTTCTCCACTTCCTGTCCACCATGAGGTAAGCTGCTTTGTCATCATATCCTCTTTGTATGATAGAGAGAACTATTTGGATCTGTAAGCAAAATAAACCTTTCCTTTTTTTAACTTGTTTTTGTCAGGTATTCTATCACATTAAAGAGAAAAATAAACTAACATATACACCAAGCCAGTTATCTGGCATGGATTCTTCTGTTAGTTGTCATATGGTACTCTCTAGACTATATGCAAATGCAGTACTGGCAGAATTATAACACAGTGGTTGAGCAATGGGCCCTGGACCACACTGCCTGCCTTTGAAGTCTGCCTCTACTCTTAACTCATCTTGGCCTAGTTTCTTTATTTTTCCCAGTTCTAGATTCTTCATCTGAAAAACTGGATTTGATTATAATAATAATAGTAATAATAAAATACCTAAATTATAAATTGTAGTGACCATTACATGAGATAAGTTGTGGCCCAGTACATGCTAACTGCTCAAAAATGTTTAAGACAGCTATATTTTTATCTGAACTAGTAATACCTCAAATAAACTTCTCTGCTTTATGAAAATCAATCACCTGTTTTTTGTCATTTTTTTCCCTCTACATAGACTCTATATATATGGAAGTAAAATACAGGAATCTGATCTTTTTTTTTAAATGTGATGTTCATTAAGTAGGAGTGTAAAGCCTTCATTTGAAGGCTCAAGTAAATCAAACCATGTTATTTAGGACTTAGGATTCATTGTTTTAATTAACACACTGCTGAAAGCATGCATGACAGCATTTTAACCTCTCTTGGGAAAGACAAGCAGCACAAAGGGGTCATTTCAGAGCTGAAACTAATTAACTGTTGGCTGCTACTCTTTTCATATAGTTGCCAATTCTTGGAAGTCTTTCCACCCACTCTTTTTCTCCCACATGCCCTTCTCCTTGCACTTTGGGGGAACCTTGGCTATATCAGCTTGAGGGAGAAGCACTGAAGAGTCACTGTCAAAACTGTAGATACCGCTGAGGCCCATGAACACCTGTGCACTGTGTCTTCTGAAAAGTTCTATGTAGTTAACTTTCTCTGTGTGGAAAGTAATATAGCCTTAGATATAGGGTTACAAATGCAACAATTTAGAACAATAGGCAATGAATGAAAGAAATGAAAAGGAGTAAGAATGCAAATAGAGAACAGAAATGTCTTTACTACATTCATTTTATGTTATTTATCGCTGCCATTTATCTACCTTGATGAATAATTCATTCATTACAATAATAATGAAACACACACTAATGTGAGCATATAAAGTAGACACTCACTTTAGGATGCTAGAAACTTTTATAATGAAATTAAGACTCACAAAAGGAAACAGGAAAAAGATCTCGATTTTGGAAGAAAACCTCAAATGCTCTACAAAGTGTGCACAATGCTAACCCAAAGTTGGGGGAAACCATGGTTAGAAACAGCTGTTCCAGATTTAATATCAACCACTTATTCTTGCCAAAAATTATCACCTCCAATCTTATCATTAAAAAATATCACATGGATCCATGTAAGAAACATTCTACAAAATAACTAGATGGCAGTAAGCAAAAGTGTCAGGACCAAGGATACTGAAAGTGGTAGAGTATCTGCCTGGAAAGCTGAAGACCTGAGTTCAAATCCCAGTACTATAAGTGAGGTGGGGGTGGTGATGAATCCCATAAGAAACATTTCAACCCTTGATGAAATTTACACCAAGACCAGAGATAGGATAATAATATTGCACCATTCATGTTCTTGAATTGGGTATTGACATGGTGGTTAAATAGGAAAGTGTTATTGCTCTTAGAAAATACACATTGAAATATTTAAGGCTAGTTGGCTGAAGGTTTCCAACTTGCAAATGATTAAGAAAAACAATTCAGGGCTGGGAAGGTGGCTCAGTGATAGAGTGCTTGCCTCGCATGCATGAGGCCCTGAGTTCGATTCCTCAGCATCACATAAACAGAAAAATCCAGAAGTGGCGCAGTTGCTCAAGTGGTAGAGCACTAGCCTTGAGCTGAAGAGCTGAGGGACGGCGCCCATGCCCAGAGTTCAGGCCCCACCACCGACAAAAAGAAAAATCATAAACCAGGCACCTGCAGCTCACACTACTCAGGAGGCTGAGATGTGAGGATTGCAGTTCAGACAGCCCAGGCAGGAAAGTCCGTGAGACTCATATCTCCAATAAACAACCAGAAAACCAGAAGTGGCGCAATGGCTCAAGTGGTAGAGTGCACACCTTGAGCTGAAGAGCTCAGGGACAGCGCCGAGGCCCAAAGTTCATACCCTATGACCTACAAAAAAGAAAAAGAAAAACAATTCACGAATCTGGAGATAGGATAAAATGGGAGTTATTGTCCTATTATTGTAACTTTTTGTAAATTTGAAACTGTATCTAAATAAACCTTACCTCCAAAGGCAACTCTTACATAATTTAGACTTGCTCGAACCCAGTGCTCATGCTCTATGTGTATGGGACAACTGCTATGTCATTTCTCATTACTAGGGGTGGAAATTCTGTCAAAAAGTAATAGAGTTTCTGTTTTCAAGTTGGTGATTGTTTTTT